GGCTTTCATCTAGTAAGTTGTCTTTCAAGACTATAATTATTGTTGGTTCAGTTTATTGATTTATTAATTTAATGCCGTTTCATCAGGAGGTCAAAAGAAGCCTGATGACCCTCTAGCCAATGCAATGAAAGAGATGATGGACCGAATAAACACTGGCAAAGTCCAGCTCAAGCCAGTGGGAGAGAGAGTTAGTATGATTTTGGAACTCCAGTTTATTATTGAGGTGTTTTCTGCACCTATTCTGATAAAGTTGAATCTGTAAGCTTGTCCATCCAGATTCAAAACCACAGCCCATATACTCTGATTTGTGATTTGATTCAAAAGCTTTATTGTCCTGTATCAGCCGCTATTTGGCTCTTAACAGGATACTAGGAAACTGATATAGGTGAACTGAATATGTATGGATCCATTTGTGGAGAAAGTCTGCAAGACTAGTTCAAATTTCCAAACATTCACTAGAATTGGATAGGGACAAAGCCAAACCACAAGCCAAARGGTTTATTCATCCAGCCTTTGTATCTTGTATTACTAGATTTTTTTTCTTTTGCAGAAGAGAAGTTCTGCTAGTAGTGAAGAGAGTGGGTCTGCTATGAATGAACTAGGAAGTTTACTGGTTAGTTTTGTATTATTATTTCCATAMTCTGACAAATGATCAGTTATAGGAATTCATTCTTTCATTCTCTTTTTTTCTTCTTTTTTCCCTTCCTCTCTTTTTTACTCATTTTTATTATTTAAACTTTTTTTTACTCTCATTTTTTCTGAATTTTCACTTCCCAACTTCMTTCTTTRCTACTTCTTTTGTCCTTCCTCCATCTTGCATTTTCTTTTTTCGTCTTTCCTCTTTTTTTCCATCCCTTCCACTTCCCTCCTTCTATTCTGTTCTTTTGTGCTTTCTGCTTAGTACTGCTTTATCCTCACACTATATTCTTATTATTTCCATCAAACATTCATTCATGCATATCCATTCCATTATTTTTTTGTACTTTCCAGTTACTTTTATTTCCTGGGCTCCTTATGGTGAATAATGTTCACCCCCTGCTGTATCAAGTCCTTTTCTCATTCCCAATATTTTTATTTTGTTTATTYATTTTATCAAAGACAACACTGAGAAAGAGTTCAAGCACTGACAATCTTGACAAATCACCAACCAAAACAGAAGAAACATGCGAATGGAGTAATGTCAAGCTGCGCAAGCGGGGATCAGACCAAGGAGGAATGGGAAGGAAAGTTTCTGCAGATAGCATTCCTGAAAGTTCTGTTTTCAACATTTCTCCATTACGAAAACCACGGAGCTACTCTGCAAATGACATCCTTGATGAGAGACCTCAAGTTAAAGATGAAGCAACATCTGAATTGAGAAAGATTTTGGACAGGAAGAAAGCTCAGGCAGAAAGAGGTATTCTGACTGAAGAGAAAGCATGCATATGACACTAGTTGTTAGGCTGCAAGGGAGAATGGGCCCTTTGCAGCTTGGGGCTCACATGACTKGGACAAAATGATGCCCAGAAATGGAAAGAGTGGTTGATGTAGATATGGCAAAGTTTGAAGTTTAATAATTATAGTTGAAAAATGGCAGCAAATGAGAAATCATGATTTTCAGCTCTGCAAAGGGCCTGTTGTACTTCCTAAAGGGGGGTGGATGCCACTTCTTCAAGAGTGCACGCTACCTAAGGTTTTGTGATTTTTTTAAAAATTCAAAACTTATTAAAATTAAACTTATAAGACTTTSTGAGAAACCCCTTCTTAAATATTCTCAGATTTACAATTACAGTCTTTGAGATAAGAGACAAAATTCGGTAAAACACGGCTCCATGAACTGGCATTTTTTTTTATTTAGAATGTTATTTGAAGATCCCAKTAATTCAATTATTAAAAAAAGTTATTGTTGTTATCTTTCAATAAAGATTTAGAAGTCAAAGAAACCCCAAATGAAACAGAAAACAAAGAAAACTCCAGTGGAAACACAGCGGAAAACACTATTGRAAGTCAAGCAGCAGCTATCAATTCAGAGGAAGATAGCTAGTCTAAGAAAGCCGATTTATAATTTTACCAGAGGTCAAATCCTCATATATTTTTTTCATTTTATAAACCAATTATTTTTAGCAGGTAAATGTCAAACAGAAATAACATTGTCCAGGAATGACAAAAAAGGTAATATTTTTTTATATTATTTCAGTAGACATTTTTTTTTTTAATTTTAAAAGCACAAATAGTTTTTAAGGAAGCATGTATGCTTGGCTGACAACTGAACACAAAGAAGTGAATGAAGATAGAAGCAGAAAAGTAAATAGAACAAAAAATTACACCCCTCAATATCAAACCTAAAAGAACTAATTAACATGTTTAATGTTCTGATTAAACCAAGGTCCAGTAAAACTCTCCAGAAATGAAATGTTTCAGACAAGATAAAAAGCATTTTTTTTGTATATATATTGCACAATTTACTATTTTTTTGGTGAGCGGTTTGAATAATTATTTAATCACATGTTGTAAATTTTCATCAACAGAATATAATTTATTTTTATAATAATTATTTTAAATAAACATTTGTGGMATTATAAATTAGAATAAAATAATTGTGAAAGCCAATTCGCTTTGTTAAAGAGCTCACAAATAGTTGTGTTTTCATTGTTCACAGTAAATACCAAAGTGAATATTGTTTTTTTTTTCATTCTTTTAAAGTAATTTCTCAAACACACATTCCTGAAATAATACTCCCTTTTCAAATTCAAAAGTGAATAGCCCCTGTTTTATTTGACAGCAGATTCTGTTACACAAAGAACTTTAAAAACCAAACACAAAAGAAAGCACAAGAAAATGTTGTAAGTACAATAGAGCTAATAATTTACATTTTCCTGAGTTGAGAGAGGCTATTTAATTTAATTTAATTTTTAATTTATTAGCTTTGCCCCTAGTATGAGCAGGGACACCGTAACAGCGTGAGCCAATTACTGCGGGCCCTGTACTCTCACACTCACTACCTCTACATTAAGTATTTTAGCACACCACACACCACATTCCCTGAATGCTCATACTTTAGGCCTTATTGGAATACAGGGTTAGTCTCAACTTGGGGAAAATAACAACATTTTCTCGTGCTCTCTTTTGTGTTTGGTCAGGTCTTTGTTCAAGAGAATCTGTTGCCAAATAAAGCAGCGTTTGTTTTGCTATGAATTTGAACCTTGAGTATTCTGACCAATGAAAAGAGTTTTATTAGTTGAGCCAGAGTTTATAGGAAATAAKAAAATAATTAAATAGTGCTTGAATTCTTCCCAGCCTTACTTTATAGTAGTTAGATATCAYTGTTTTATCCTCATTATTGATAATGAATTACTGACTAGATAATATTTATTAATGTTTTGATGGTAGGGACTAATTTCATTAAAAATTAATTATTGTTGAAGACTATTCATTGTAGTCCAATGTTAAAGTCGCAATAAAAACACTGAATAAAAACTTTATTTTCTCAAAATGTGTTCATGGAACATGTATTCTAAAAGTAATTATTGAATCTCTCTGACCTAACCTCACTCATAGGTCATGGGCTTCCTGTCTTTTACTGGGAGGCAGAAGAGGGGGATTGRGAGCAAACAAAGAAGAGTATGCCAATATTCCTGAACTGTAAATTCACGACTTTCCATACGCAGGTTCAGTGACCACAAACAAAGCATTGAGCCGAGGCGTCAAGGAACACTGATCACAGATATATTTTTTTTAATGTTCACTGTAACTTGATGCCTCTGTTCAATTCTTTGTTTGTGGTCACTGAACCTGCCTRTGGAAAGTCTTGAATATGACCATTACAAAGGTAGCCCAAAGAGGGAAAAAAGATTTGCTTGAGAAGGAGGCTATATCTGGCCAAGGTTAATACTTTTAAGTATTGAACTGTATATTAAAATATACAGTTCTCGTTTTTTTATTTTGAAAGATAGCCAACCAAGTACTTCGAGAGTGGCTTTCATTAACACATGAAAAGGAAGTGTAATAGTCAAAGTGTGGTTCATCAGTAAGACAGAGAAAATTGTTCCAAAAGAGAATTTTAAGGGGGTGGGGGTTAGATTTTGTCTGTGCAATATTTTTTTTTACTAGTATGGACTTAGGTTTTTTTGTTAACTAAATTTCTTGTAAATTTACAAAAAGCTTTAATGCAGGAATTTTTTTTTCAGCCCTTTGGCCTGTGCAGGATCTTTACTTCAAAATCTTCAACCCCACCCCCCTCAAAATTCTAATGGATCTCTAAAGTGTATATTTTCATGGTATGAAAACCTGTCTATCAAAGAGAGATTGTAAAATCAGGATTCTGTCTGAGTTGAAGAGTTACTATCCTACAACTTGAGGTTCCACAGTCAATGACACTATTTTGCTTCCTCTTTGTACATCCATYTTGAGGGGTACTCCTTTCTTGACAAACTCAAAGATCTCTTGAGAGGATGAAATTTTGCTTCCATTAATTTGTGTGATGACATCTCCAGATCTAAGGCCAGCTCTATTCAGAAACAATGACATCTTTTACCATATTTATGTAAATTCTCATGCTGATTACAGTGTGTCAATAAGAGGACATGTAGAGTGCACGCCACATAAGCATGAAACAATTCTTAAGTAATTAGCGCCTAATAAGATTTAGTTATCAACTAACAAAGAATTTAGTGAGGCATAAACAAAGACAAGTTTCCTTTCTGGCATTGTGTTCATGCCCCAGTRAATTCTTAGTTAGTTGATAACTAAATCTTATTAGATGTTGATAGTTAAGAATTGTTTCATGCTTTTTTGGCATGCACTCTATACTCTGCTGACGACATCATGTATCATGCATTCTCAGTTGAAAGAAAAGAATGATTTTTGCTAATTTTTAGACTTAAAATGAGGTAAAGAACAAGTTCCACATGATGTCATAAAATGCTCAAAACTTTGCAGTGAACCCACTTCTTGCGCTCATGGATCCACTTGAGTTTTGAACGTTCTATGATGTCAAGGGTGTGTCACAGGGTCTGTGCAGGTCCTTAAATCCTTGAGAAGTGCTTGAATTGAAAACTCATTTTCAAGGGCACTTGAAACTCCTTGAAAATTTGAAAATATCAAAAAAGTCCTTGAAAACTCCTTAAAAAAGATGGATCTCTATTACGAAGCGCTAGCGATCTCTGAATTATTCCGTTCGGCTGAAGTTTTGAGGTAARAATGTACAATTAGCATGATTTTGATGCTCCTTGAAAATACAATTTTGGTCCTGGAAAAAGTCCTTGAAAAGTCCTTTTAAGGAAATTTCGTTTTTGATACTCTGCATGGACCCTGGTGTCAATAAGAGGACATACAACTCAAAACAGTATCCAATTTGTTAAACATATAATTATATCAATTTTAGAGTAATTTTCWATGAATTGCTAGAGTGAAGTAAATCAAACTCTTCCTTAAACTATTTTCAAGACTTGATACTCACACATGAGCAGGAGATCTATGATTGACACCTGCCACTAAAACTCCTCCGCTGAGGTTATCAAAATTAGAATCTCTTCTTTGAAGCTCTTCCAGTATTTGTGGYGAGAGTGTTAGCATSGTRATWCCTATGTACCAACGTTGGCTTGGACTCAGAATTCTTTGATGAGGGCCACTTCTGATGAAGCTTTTCTTGTTCTTTGCTCCTTCTAAGAATTCTTTAACAGCATCGATAGGGATTGCAAATGATATCCCTGCAGCAAACTTGACAGTGATGGCACTAATACCAATTACTTCACCATCCTAYAGTAGTATTGAGAGTTTGGTCWGTCAGAAATTAGTCAGGGGGGAGCAAGGGGATTCGTGGTAGGGGTGGAGTGGGGAGAGAATCAGTTCWATTTTGAAAAATAATTATAATCTCAAAATTCAATGATCCTGCCCTCAAATTAACCATAATATACTAGGAATATCCCTTTTTGGGGTCTGTTCMTAAAAAAATGTCATGTATGCTCAGTGTTGTACATTCTTACCAAGTTAACTAATGGACCTCCCGAGTTGCCAACCTGAAAGAAAATTNGTTAGAATCTCTGTTGAATGTTGGTCCTAGCTTCAAGTGTTTTTACAGGTATTTTCCAGGTTATTCCTCCCTCAGTAAAAACGAACCAATTCTATCTGAAGTGCTCCGCGTTCATATAAAGGAAGCACGTAGCGAGCAGCACGCCTATGTGTTAGTGTAAGTAAAATGTGTCTGTAATATATCACTTCGATTTGAGAACTGCGTCTTTCACAATTCAGCACCCGTGCTGCCATGAAGGACGATTAGCACCCAATACCAATATCACATTTTTGAACCAGACAAAGTTTTTTCAATAAATTAGGAAATAAGCTCTATACTCAAACTTACATTAATTGCTGCATCTGTCTGTATATACTCCATGTCGCTGTTATGTAAGCCTAGCTCCTTGCCTCCTCTATGTACAGTGCTAACTATCCCAGCTGTGATGGTATTACTAAGTGTTAAWGGACTTCCCATAGCAATAACCCATTCACCAGGCCTTATGGACGAAGATGAACCCAATTGGATGGTTGGGAATTTGGATCCCTGTAGAATAGTCAAAGACGTGTCAATAGATTTAAAAGGGGGGTTGTAATAATGTTTTAATATTCTTCAGCCGGTGGAGAAGATAGCCAACAAGGAAAATGGTTGTTTCACTCTATGTAAAAAAACCCTTAAAGCATGTGTTTTTGCTCTAAAGCCTTAACTGGGAGCGAGTATAGAATACCTATCCACCGTTGAGCTTAACCTTGGTTGGTGTACCTGCGGTCGCACTTGACGTCAAATTTATTCTTTTGAATTTCTTTTGTATTGTCAAAATTTCAAAAGAATGAATTTGATGTCAAGTGTGGAGAACACAATACCTCGGGACTTATTAAAATGGTGTATAGAATGAGATATATTCGAAAGTATGAAATGAGTGCACATGCGCTTGCTAGTCCCTGTAGTCATTATAGAATGAGATATATTCTGTAGTCTTTATAGAATGAGATATATTCTGTAGTCTTTATAGAATGAGATATATTCGTAAGTATGATATAAGTGGTTGCTGGTCCTAAAAATCTTTTGAGAACGAGATATTCATAGCGATGATATGAGTGTACCCATGATTGCTAGTCCCCGTAATCATAAAGTGGACAGGTAATGGGTTTCCTGTGGTGCACATTTCTGACTGGCGACAGGTACAAATGCAACAGATATAGTATATATGTATCTTATATGTTGCCTGCCCTGCGGTTACAATACAAGAGAGGGTGGACGGGTATTCTATACTTTAACTGGAGACTATGATAGTTTAAAATCTAAGACTTTTGCTCTGTCAGCTGTATTTACACAGGAGTCCAAAGAGATAAAAAGTAGTCCCATTGGAGAAGGCTAGAACAGAACAGGAGCGTCAAGGGTTCCAAACCCGGAAAATTCCCAAACTTGACCAGCATCATGTAAACACAGTCTCATTGAATCATAGTTAATAGTCCCTCTATTAACTGTGATTGAATATATATACCTGAGGTGCATTCAGTTTAATGGCAGCCAAATCCTTCACAAGRTCAATGTCCACAACAAYTCCCTTAAATTGACGTCCATCTCTCAACTTAACAGTCACATCAACWGCATTTGCYACCACATGAGCGTTCGTGAGAACTARCCCTTCTTCAGTGACGAAAAATCCCGAACCAGAACTTGTAGGTCCGGCGTGACGACCCCAAAATCCCGCAACTCGGCCGTCAGTGACTTCAATATAAACAACTGCTGGTTCAACCGCTTCTACAGCATCAGCTATGAAGTTGAACCTTTTGGAAGGCGGTAGATTATCATTCTCTATAGTYCTTGCYTCAAGACAAGGAATTTTAATTCGAATTGTGTTGAAATTGTACGGAGAAAACTTGTAAAGTCCATAGCCGAATGCCCCGGCGGTAAATAAACCTATATATGTCCAGTAATTTTTGAATTTCTTARCTTTTTGATGAGTGGTATAGTTTCTATAGCTATTTGACGCAAAGGTRTACCGTAAAATCYTYGTTTTTGCGCTTTGTCTTAGGAAATTAGCTTGATTACAAAATCGGCACATGTAAGCCGCCATGTTGGGAAGGCAGAGTTGACTGGGCATGATACACAGGAAACCCATCATCGTTGGTCACGATTCTCTGTTTCCTCTTCATTGCATTGGAAAGAAAGTCATACAAAAACACTAAAATTGGGAGCACATTGGGAGTACCATTTGCAAATTTAAAGTTAATTAAAAGACTTCAATTGTTTTCTGATAATATAAAATATCAAATTTTGACATTTGTTTTTGTCAAGTGCAGGGTATATACCTAGGGACCGCGGAGCGTAAATTTGTTTGGGGGGGCTAGCGGCAAGGAGATATTTGGGGGGTTCGGAAATTTTTTGAAATCTTAACTCTCGGAAATGTCATTTACAGCGTTTTGAGGCGTTATCAATTTTTACCGCACTCACGTTCAGTGATATTATCAATAAATTCCCAAAAAGCTGAATTTTAATTGTTCACGCTCAGTTTTTACACAACTTTTATAGAATATATATGGTGAAATTGCATAAGGAGGCTGTTCGCTTCTTTATTTGAGAAATTCAAAATGTCAAAAATTATTGGGGGGGCTGTAGCCCCCCAGCTCCGCGGTCCATGATACCTACTTGCACTGCAGAAACGTTGTCATAGAAAATCGAACATTTGAATTTAGTAAAAAGGTATAAATTAAAACAAAAGAGAGCATTTAGCCTCAGTGATCTTCTTTTGTCTTTTTAATTTATTCCTTTTTACTAAATACAAATGTCCTACTTTATATGACAACGTTTCTGCAAGTAGTCTCCTTTCGCATCCGTTTTCACTTCGGGCTTCCTGTCCCTCCCCTCAAACGGATGCGAAAGGAAACTATTCTGCAAGTGGGTGTGTGTAAAATTAAAAATTAATAGGGTCAGGATTTTGTCCTAGCATGAATATCAAGCCGGCAAGGTGACCCAGAGGTTAAATCTCCCCTTCCAACCCAGCAATATATTCTACTTCAAGAAAAGCAACTTGTTCATTTAATGTAATTTTTTTTAATGTACTATACAAGATTTACTTTGGATATTTACAACAAGAAGAGTCTGCTATTGGAACCTTCTTTTGGAATATAGTGCATTGCCCATGTGTTTTCTTTCGTTTTATGTACATGTATAGTCAGTCATTCTTTGGCTTTCATTGATGGAAAAAAATGCAGTTACACAACAGCAGACTTCTTCATTTAGTTTTTATTTACTAACATGACACAGCTTATGGTAAAGCTCGAGGTAAAGCAGGGGCAGTTTCAGGGATTTCATGCTTGAAGTTCCAGCATTTTTTGCAGGTTTCAAGACTCTAAAGAAGACAACTGACAACAAAATTGCATGAGTGTCGTTCTGGATTTACACCAAACACACTGTTGGACTGTCTGCAAATGTGCTTCACTATTGATTTGGTGAGTAAAATTTCATATTTTAAAGACTTAGTCTTCCAAGAGAAGAGTGGTTCAAAAACCCCTGCACACACCCCTGTAAAGCAAAACTCAAATATCAAATCATATGTCTTCAATATCAACTGCAGGTTTTTGAGTGAAATATTTCCTTTTTTTACATAGTAATGTTTCTAATCTAAGGAATCTGGTATTTTGTATCATTGTCATAAATCTTAGCACTCTGGGATACATAGGACTGGGGACAATCACTAATAAATTACATACTATTTACATAGCCTTCTGCGCTGGTATCTCCATTTTTTTCTGCTCTTCTCACTCTTGGACTTCCTGTCTTACTCAATATGACCGAGGAGGACAGTGACCCCGTTCAGCAAAGAAGATATCACAGGGATCCCAAAAAATGAAGTGTTGCCTGCGCAGGAGGCTACTATTTACAATACACGTTCAATAAAATCGTATTTCTCTTGCTTCACAGGGAGACATTTCAGTGGGGCAGTAGGGACATTTGACCCTGTGGAAAAGAAATGAAATATGAAAAATGACATAAACGAAAATATGAATAAAAGAGAGAATAAAAGATTATTAAAAATACGAAAAAATGTGTGATTTTCATTAGAAAAAATACAGTGATTTTCATGAGTATCAAACTGGCAGAATGGTTTGGCCAGTTTTTTTTTTTCCTTTTTTTACAAAATCAACCAAGATGAGCAACATCTGAGCAATAATCAAGAGTTCACCACAAAATCCTGATGAACCCCAAAACTTCTAGGTTGCAATGCAAAGCATTTTACTATGAAAAATTTTGGATTTAATTTCTCTTACTTGTTTCCATTTGTAAGTTTATAAAGAGCATCTCGTGAGATCACATGACCACACATTAAGCGGACGGGTGGGTTTGTATCTGAGCACTGTTGYCTTAGAATAGGGCAAGCAAATATGGAGTGATACCGATATTCATGTCCAAGATCAACTTCCACCTGAAGAGAAGAAAATGCAACTGTTACTACAAATTTCATCGATAGACATGTGCTTAAACATTATATTTTTGTTTCTTACAGAGCAAATTACAAAAGGCATGACCAATCTGAAGATGATTTCAGTAATGTGTACTAGCTTTCAAAATGAATTTAACCACCACACAAGAAAGCAGGATGAAAAAATATGGAAAAACTTTTTATTTTATTGTAAACAATGAAATTGAACCATTTGCAAGCTTTCATACTTTGTAAAAAAAATAGTGCTATTTATATTGTTACTTTGAAGTTTTGATCAGAAATTTGCATGTGGAAATGCACTTAGATGATGGTTAATCTTGCTTCTGATTGGCCAATGAGCAATAAACATTCCCTAAACATTTCTAAGCGGTCACGGCTTTTCAATTTGCACTGTAATTACGGCATGTCTTTCTGGTGATGCACACTTGAGAAAATTACAGACCAAAGTACTAGGTACCTTATTCKCACAAATTAAAAAATTGCAAAATGAAAGTCTCGCGAAAAAAGATCCATGATACTTAAAAACACAAAATTTAGTGTACACTTCTATCATTGCTTTCAGCACTTGACTTCTTTATATGAAAATCTTGATTGTAAATCAATTATTGTTTAAGTATTCATTCAATAAAAAAGGATTTTTAAGTCTGCCTGTCCACATGTTTTTCAATTTTCGCAAAATTAAATGCACTAAGTTTATCCATTTTTTAAAAAAAAGAGCAAAAATTAATGCTCACGAAATATTTGTGTTCCAAGTTCGCAAAATTAAGTGCTCAKGAAAACTAGTACGAATAAGGTAATTAATCTTTAAAAATTTTGTTTCTGGGTACCACAATTTGCTATAAATCTGGAAACTGACAGTAAATATACTTACTGGAAGTTCATCCTTTGAGCTCCAGACACCTGGCACTTGCTTCTGTTGAATAACTTGTTTAATCTGCAGCAAAGAAGGGAGCGCWATACAACCTGCTGTAATACACACTTGCAGTGGACTCTCAAGAGATAAGCCAAGGAGTGCACAGGCATCTCTAGCGAAAAGATCACAGATATCTATCCAATGAACAGGGTCAAGAAGATATGAGTATGGGGAATTATCCAGGCCTTTCTTGGTGTAGAGTAGGCAAGCCATGAGCTGCTGAATATCTATGAATCAAAGAATCATCATCATGAGTTATTTCAATCATGCAGATTATTAATATTTATCAAAATGTACCTTTAGAATGGCCTGCTGCAAATGCAGCAAAGTTTTTAGCATAYTTCAGTGCTTCCTCTTGCTGTCCTTGCTTTAATAAATCAAGGAATTTCAGCTTGTGTAGTTTGAACTCTAAAGAGCTCCCTCTTTCTTTCAATTGTGAATGTCGTGCCTTTGCCCAGCTACAATAAAAAAAATCATTAGAATTGAAAGTCTTGGCTACTAATAGCACTTGTCTGATAATTCAAAAGATCTTGAATGGTGACATCATTTCTTTGGCAGTTATTTCAAATCAAGAAACGGTAAAACCTTGTTATAACAGATATTTATAGAGCTGTAATCAAGTGTCCACAATAAATAAGTGCATGTGATATAAGAATATTGGCAAGGAAAGTGTTGACTGTCTAGAAAAAGAGATACATGAGCTAAAATCAGAGTTTCTTCAATAAATATTTCTGTCAATGAGTTAAAGGTCAAGAACATCACCATATACAGTATATTTTATAAATCATTGCTGARGGATGCAAAAACAATGCTCCAGGGTGAATATCTAAGGGCCACGTTACTTGACCAGCATTTATGGGAGAAGATATCCTTTGAAGTCAGTGGCCTGCCACACAAATGATAATAAGTGCTGCAAAACATTTTGTTTACTAATTTAACCTTTTCATTAGTTTCTTTAATTCAGTTTATAATACTTACTCAAGTGCAGGATCAAGGTTTCCACTTCGACAAGCTTCAAGGATTCTGTTTAATTCTTGGAATGGCTCCTTTTTATTGCTGTCTAAGTGTAGATTTGCTTCCTAAAGAGAATTTGTAATAACTCCAGTTCACCAAGCAATTTTTCATTTTTTTTTTTTTACAAAACTGTAGTGAAATAGAGAATCACTTCATCAATCAGACAGCTAGTGTGACAATTAGTCTTCTATGTACTGCACAATTGTTTTGAACTATACCTGTATTAATGCTTCTGCAATGTCAAGTCTTCCTTGCCGCAACAGATGCTCACATATCACTTCATTCAGTAGAACAGCTTTCTCTCCATCAAATACACCATTATAACTACATGCCGTGTTATCAGCAATAAAATTCTGTTGAATAGAAAATGCATTTAGATGAAATTAGGGAATGGGGAGTGGGCAGAGGGGAGCAGGCAAATTTATGGATTAGAATTTATTCAATGGATATTGTTATGCACCTATCAGCGGCTTCCCCCTGGGGTAGACCCCCGGGACAACCAGGGAGATAGGTGGGAAAATATAGGAGTATTGCATCCAGTTGTTCCCCCTGGGGTCRGGAAAATTCGTTAAATTKTTTTCAGGAATGAAAACTAATGTGGGGGATTGTAATGACATTTTTTTAACACTGRGATCGCCAAGGAGAATTGACTTTAACTCCAGTTAAATAAAACAGTTCCTATAACAGTTCGTATACTGTAATATTAATAAATGGTTGGAACTAGCGGTAAACTAGTGAARGATTAACGTCCKAAACGTCAGTAAGTCATTTCGCCTACTTTTTTACGGTGTTAAACTTATCTTTTTTTTGCACAACTATAATATTAAATTACATGGTTTTTTCGCGCTACCTTTGTTATCCGGCATATTGGACAATACCCATAAATCCTTTCACGTCTACTTGTGTCAAGATGGCTGACAAAGGTGAAACTTTGCATTGTGAACATTACATGTAATTTCTGTGTCAGTATAATACTTGTTTTCAACTTAAATGAGGGGGAATTGTTATTTAATGACTGCTTTGACTAGGGGACATTGAAAAGACGCATTACCCTTCCCCTGGGGAAAATAATCAAAATTGTTTTCAAATTTTTACAATCTCCCTGGTTGTCCCGGGGGTCTACCCCAGGGGGAAGCCGCTGACAGGTGCATTATTTTGCCCAAAAAATTCCCAAAATAAATAAAAAAAACCTATGATATTATAACAGCCAACTAACCCTATCGATTGCTTTGCCTATCTTTGATATACCACCATGTAGTTCTTTATGTTCTGTGGCTAATCTTGTAACAGTGTCTTTAACCTTTTTAGCGGATTGAGCGAGTACCTGGCATTGCAGTGGTGATAATTCCTCTTGATTCGCTATTAAAAACACAACATGTACAGCATCGTAATTAACTATAATTTTCACATTCAATAGCATAACAACATTATTCTAAATCATCCTAAACAAATTACTCCATTATTGGATAAACTACCTGTGCAGSAGTAACAGTTTTAAACAAGCAAAATATATAATAGCGACAGCCATTAACRGTTTCAAATTTTTGATGTGCAAATTTTTCCTTGTGAAAAAGATATTTTCTTTATCAAAATACTGCAATCTACTCACAGTTCACAATTTCATTTTGTAGATTCGATATGTGGTTGCATAAGTCTCCCAGAGTAACGTCTGTGTGTTCAGCCAGACCCTTGTATTTCTTCAAAACCTTGTCTTGTTCTTTCTCGACATTCAAGCAGGCATCCATTTTGTTTTCTGAAAGATAAACGACACAAGCAAAGCATGACGGGTTATCCGATTACGTCACACTATCTTTTTATCCGTAATTTGGCAAAATTCGACAAAATTCATTGAAGTATGCACAGATTATTAAATTATTAGAACGTGTTCGTATAACCCACTTTTTAAATGCTAATGAGTTTGCTAATATTCTAATGAGATTGGCACAAGAAACAAAAGAGCAAAAACATGCTTGAGTGATTTCAGTAGCGAATATCATTTCAAAACTATTTTGAGCTCAGTTCAATAAATGCAAAATTTCAAAAGGAAACATTTTTATTTAAGCTATACAGCTATCTCAACTTCTCGTAAACTACATGCAAGTAATTAGATTAGACGCGGCAAAAGATAGACGTCTGAAACGGACCTCATTGTCCAGAATCGGTTTTGATTCTGGTATCGAAGGGTTGTGGATGTCTGCAATGCTTGTTTTATAATTCTTCCCATGCGCCCAATTTATTTAAAACAATTTAAATTAACATTATGAACCGCTTAAAAGAAACGATCTGTTGACATTCAAGGAATTTTCAATCTTGTAGCCAATAACTGTTGAAATTGATTAACTT